TCCGGCGATCCTTCCGCCTCAGCCTCCCGAGTAGCCGGAATTACAGGCACGCGCTACCACGCCCGGCTGATTTTTTGATTTATCGTAGAGAGGAGGTCTCGCGGCCCAGGCGGGCCTGGAACCCGCGGGCTCAGGCCACCCGCTCCCCTCAGCCTCCCGAAGGCGCGGGCTTGCAGGCTGAGCCACCGAGCCCGGCGAGCTTTTTTATTATAGTACTTTTATGCTTGCTTTGCAGGTAAACATGAGTATGAGTTCGTTTTAGTAATATCAGTAGGCATCTTGTGTGTGCGTGAGGTCGATTTTTATGTCTGTTAATCGCTACTCCCGGCCTTCAGTCACTGCCACGGGCCCTTGGGATTCACTCTTGGTCTTTGTTTACGCTGTTCTGCCGAGGCGCAAAAGCGTTTGTCAAGTGGGTGACTGCGCGGCGGCGCGGCGCCTGCCTGGCTCGTTTGTGCGGCTGGGGCGGCATCGCTGAGACTGGGTAGTGGGAAAGGAAAGAGGCTCGGCTGGCCCACGACCGCGCGGGCGGCAAGGGCCAGGCCTGGGCGCTGCGTCTGGTGAAGGCCCAGGCTGCTTCCACGCGCGGCGGAGGCCGGGGCAGCCACTGCGTGCAGCCAGCACCTGGCCAGCGCAGCCAGAGCAGGGCGGTGCCGGGCTTTGCTGGACAACCGGTGTCCTGCGAGTTGACGGAGTGAGCACGCGCTCACCCCAAGGCGGGGCATTAGGCTGTTCTCGAAGGGTGTTTCCCCACAGCCCCCACGACACGAGCACCTCTCATTAGGCCCCTCCTTCGTCGCTGGGAATCAGACTTCAGCACGAGGTTTGGAAGGGACTAACATCCAAACATAGCAGGTGGTGATGGTGGTGGGAACTGTGGTAGTGGCGGTGGCGGTAGAGTTTGGATGTGGACTGAGCCCTGTACCGTTTTAAAACTCTTCTGTAAAACAAACAAAAAAATTTTGTTATGGCTTTCAACGGTGTTTTCCTTTTTCGTAGCTATCAACTTGCATGACATCTTGCACATCAGACTGCTTGTTGGATCTCAGATTGCAGCAGAGATGCGGGAAGCCATGTTTAATCAGTTGGGACTCACTGGCTGTGCTGGCGTGGCTTCTAATAAACTATTGGCAAAATTAGTTTCTGGCATCTTTAAACCAAATCAGCAAACAGTCTTGTTACCTGAAAGTTGTCAAGCTCTTATTCATAGTTTGAGCCACATAAAGAAAATACCTGGTAAGACAAATGTATTTGAGAAGTATATGTTGGTTCTATTATGTTTCTTTGATTTTAAAAATTATGGCTACAGTGTAATTAATTTATATATGTTTCTGAGTTGAGGAGCTCACTCTGTCACCCAGCTGGAGGGCAGTGGCATGATTGCAGCTCACTGCAGTCTTGAACTTCTGGGCGCAGACGATTTTCCCGCCTCAGCCTCCCGAGTAGCTGAGATGACAGGCATGCTCCACCACGCCCTGCTCTTTTATTATTACTATTTTTTGTAGTGATGAGGTCTCGCTATGTGGCCTAGGCTGGTCTCAAACTCCTGGGCTCAAGCAGCCTTCCCTCTTTGACCTCCCAAAGTTCTAGGATTACAGGCGTCAGCCACTCTGCCCAGCTACAGTGTAATTCATTCTTAGATGTATTTATAGATACCGATAAATAATTCTTAGACTTATATATACACAAGGTTCTTGAAGAAAACCAAAAAAACCTCAGTGTTTTCTGGAGCAAATCTGTATTAGGAAATATGTGAAAGTACTTTTCTAGTTTCACATACTTTTATATAATTAGAACATGACCATAAAAGTTATGATGCTTTATTTCCGGTCACTTGTTCATATTCTTATACTGCGCATTGCAGGTTTGGATCTTTGAAGATCAAATATCTAAGTTTTTATAGACCATCACTAATGGATATGTTAGACTTCATTTCTATGGTATTGTAGGGGAATACTATATTATAAAGAATTCTGTGGGTGTGAATTTCTAAGACAACTGGAACTTAATCCTTTAGATGTAATAATTTCACGTTTTTAACCCATTTTTATGTGTTTCCAAAGTGCCTTGCCTTCTTTATTATAGTATAATTTGAAATTTTTTTGAATCACTCTGGTTCTGCTTTTTGGAGAACAATTGCAGATTATAATAAATTGGAGACTGTTTACTGATACAAAACACTCTTACTTGGCTTTACTTTGGATTTCTTGTATCTTTTTTTTTAACAGACTTTTTCTTTATTGCTAAATCGCCAACCTTCTTTTATTCTTTGAAAATATTTGTCACTCTAATATTAATAATTCCCCCTACACACCCATGTCCTCTGACTTACTGTTTTGACTATGCAAGAAAACTGGATAGCTGTAAAATTATTATTATTATTTCTTAAAAAATGAAAAGAATAAAGAGACACTAAGTAGCCTATTTTCTCCTATGTATAGTATGACTGAATTTTAGTGTAATAACATTGTGATAGGAGCTTTGCTAGTAAGAAGACTTTTTTGTTTATTTTCTTGCTCTTAGTTGTATTCTGGATGGTAAAATACTGCTAGATATGACTTGTGGATAAATGTGTAATGTTGTATATAGGAATCTTTTAATTGCTCTAGTGACAGTCTTTTTTGCATTAATAATAATCATGATTCCTGAATAACCCTGCAGGAAGTATAACAGGTGGTAAGTATATAAATATGTATAAATAATATAACAGGTGGTAAAAATTTCATTTTAGCAAGTCAGCTCTTATTGGCTGCCTTTATATTCTTTGTATTATACAAGTAGTATAATGGTTTTAGTTACTCATGGTCACCTGTGGCAGGAAAATATTAAGATATTTTGAAAGAGAGAGAGTGAGAGAGCACATTCACATATCTTTGTTACAGTATATTGTTATAGTTATGATAGTCTATTATTAGTTATTGTTGATCTCTTAATGTGCCTAATTTAGAAATTAAACTTTATCCTAGGTTTGTATGTAATGGAAAAAAGCAAAGTACCAAATATATATGTTTTAGTACTATCCATGGTTTCAGGCATCCACGGAGGGTCTTGAAATGTATCCTCTGTGGATAAGGGGGAACTACTGCATTAATTATAGAACTTAAAGTTATACTTGGTCTATTTATAATATTTTACTTTGTTTTAGGAGAAAAGCCGTTTTAACACTGTATATATTTCTTTTTGTTTAGGTATTGGCTATAAAACAACCAAACGTCTTGAAACACTGGGTATCAATAGTGTGCATGATCTCCAAACCTTTTCTTCCAAAATATTAGAAAAAGAATTAGGAATTTCAGTTGCTCAGCGTATCCTGAAGCTCAGTTTTGGAGAGGATAACTCTCCTGTGACACCCTCAGGACCACCTCAGGTACATGGTGATATTTATTTTAATTAAGTGCCAGTTATCACATTGAGATAAAGATTTCTAGTTTTGGTACTATGCTCTTAGTATATGATTCATTTAGGCTATCTAATCTTTTTTTTTTTTTTTGAGTTGGATTCTCACTCTGTCACTCAGACTAGAGTGCAGTGGCTGCTCCCGGCCACCACAGCCTCGACCTGCTGGGCTCCGGCAATCCCTCCGCCTCAGCCTTCCAAGTAGCTGGAACTACAGGCCAGTGTTACCATGCCTGGCTAATTTTTTGATTTATTGTAGAGATGAGGTCTCGCCAAGTTGCCCAGGCGGGTCTCGAACCCACGGGCTCAGGCAATTCACTCACCTTGGCCTCCCAAAGCACAGGATTACAGTCTGAGCCACTGAGCCCAGCCTGGACTATCTGATCTTTTAACAATCTTGTTTTCAGAGTAGTCCAATGATCTAGCAAATGAGGAAATATATAATCACTCAGGTACCATTGACTGATTTTTTTTCTTTTACTGGACAAGCACTTATACATGCTTTATAGACATTAGTCCGTTTCGTCTTCACAACAAACCTTTGGAATAGATAGTCCTATTGTTCATTCTTCTTTTCTTTCTTTCTCTTCTTTTTTTAAGGTGAGGTTACTGTACTTTAGAAGGGTTAAATAACTCCATGGGTAAACTCAGATTTAAATTCTAGGGGATTAAGAGTCTCACTATAATCATACAAAAAAGATTTATGGTTTTCTTGACTTCTAGTGCACTTTCTAGTGGAGTACAATAACTTGCAGATAAAAGACAGTTATAAAAATGAGCTAAATGGCTCAAACTAAGCACAAGAGGTAAGTTAGTAAAGAATGTATTGAATATGTATTTGACATATACACTGATAATAATTAGTTGTACTTATTTGAACATGCATTAATCCTTATTTATGCTTCTTTGATAGTCTTTTAGTGAGGAAGATTCCTTTAAAAAGTGTTCATCAGAAGTTGAAGCTAAGAAAAAGATCGAAGAACTTCTTGCTAGTCTTTTGAACAGGTGATTTTCAATGCATTTTACCAAGTCATCCTATAAATTCATTCTATATGCAGAATATGGACAGAATAGTTGATGTTCTATCTTTGGACTTACAGCATTAACTGGAGAGTAAATGCATTGTAAACTATTGTGAAGATATTAATAGGTGCTCCTAACTAAATTTAATCTATGGACTTCCATGGGCTTAATTCTAGTAACACTGTAGTTATACTATGACTCTTAGGCCACAGATAGTTCCCTGGTGAGGTTTTATGGATGTCTCTAATATTCCTAGACCTATTCTGGTCCTTAGGTGAGGAGGAAGAAGTTTAATTTCTCCCTGTGGCAATTGCAGAGCCTTTCCCTTCAACCTAATAGTGACTTGCGTCTCAGTAAGAAGAAAAGAGTGCAGAGTTCTAAAGCTCCTTATGTAAGAACAGGTATCTACATCTGTGAAGGTTGAGGAGACGAAATTACGAAAGTAACAGTGATGGAGGAAGCGGAAGACCTGGCTACCTCTTGCCTCCGGCTGTGTGAGATCACTTGGCGTCAGTGGAAGGAATGGCCAGTGGGGCTGTGCGTGAGCGCGCAGTATGAGTGACTGCAGGTGTGAGCGGGGTTTCTGATCTGTAAGTTCGTGAAGGTGGCAGCTGGGATTGTAAATATGCGAACTGCGTGACATAAACTGAACGAGAAATGTGGTTTTGTGAGGCCCTTTATCAGCCCTCATACGTGTGTTTCTCAGTACTGCACAGAAGCGTATTTATCTCTTTACTCCCACTTGTTAGGAATTTCTCAAGTTGAGGTGTCGGGATCTAACACTTCAGAGTAGGTGTGCTGCTTTAATGCTTTGGGCAGGGCTAACTGTATGTCGATAAAGTGATTTTTGGATGGCTCTAAGTCTCAGAAAACTGATGAAGTGAAATGTCCTACAACTTTGCTCTCACACGCAGCGTGCTTTTTTCCTGTCTCGAGGAGCGCCCTGCAGCTCACTGTTGGCTGCACACCACTGGGGCTGGCTATGTGACTCAGGCTGGGCCTGTGCATGTGCTAGTGAAACTGGTTCATCTGCTGTGCCTCAGCTACAGAGACGTCCACTCTGACATGCCTGGCCATTAGAGATGGTTTTTCCCATAGAGAAACCACAGAAGTGGGTTTTACAGGTTCTCTTAGTTGAAAATTCAACCCAGAAGTGAGACTAGGTTGCTTGCTAGTTCCCTTTCCACTATACATGGCCCCTTATTTCAATGACTGGAATATAATACTAAGTGACAGCAAAAAGAAAATTACAGGAGTGTGTGTGTATGTATAATTGTGTTTTTTTCTCTAGAGTATATGATGATTAATACTATAGGTATTTAAGAAATGTGGAACCATATAATTTTTAATTCATCCTCTGGGCATTTGTTTGAGATTGCTTATGATACAGCCGTTTTCTAGTGTGTCTTAATTAGCATTTCATGCCCTTTGAATTGCATATTTAATAGAACAAGTTTAACTGGAAGATAATTTAAACTAGTAACATGTTTATAGAAACCATTTAAGACATTTTATTGTCCTCGTTAAGCAGCCGTCAGAAAGTTTTGTGATTAAGCAGGAACAGACAGAAAAAATTATTTGCTACAAAACTATTTTTTCCATTTCAAAATCTTCAAATTGAGAATGTTTAACAATATACTATGTTTGCATTTTATGTTTGTGATTTGGTTCTTTATGCGCTGCTATGCATATACAAAGGCAAGTATTATCCTTTAATGACATTTATTTTTTCCAGTAATTAGATTTTCTACTTTTTAAGTTAATTTTTTAGGAAACTTTTTTTTTCAACACCAAAACCAAGACCATTTGGATGGAACTCTTTGTAAGATGCATGTACTTAGATGTAGTACACGATTGATCTTTGAAGGTTTAGTTCTAATATGCCATCAAATAATGATAATATTGTTGGCTGTCTTTTATTTGGGGAGCATTCTTTAAAAAAAAAAGTGTTATCATTGTGTAAAAGAATTTTCTTCTTGTAATCTTATTTTGTTTTTTAAAAAAGTCTTTTATTTATTCATTTTTTTTTTGAGTTGGGATCCCTTTCTGTTGCCCAGGCAAACATTTGGGCTCAGGTGAGCCTGCTGAGTAGCTGGGACGACAGGCATGAGCCACTGTTCCCAACTGGAAGATAGTTGTAAATAATTTTCTTTTATTTTTTACTTACTGCTTTTGTAAGTGAATGATTCTCTCAGTTTCTTAAATTTTCTGCTGATTTTAACTTTTTGCTTTTAGTTATGTTTTAGATTTGGATTATAAAACAGCTTGTTATGATTATGTGTTATTTCTGTTTTTGACAGCACTTAATTCTGAGTGAGACTTCAGAGCCTTGCATTTAAAATTTTGGAGCTTTTGTGCATAAACTTTGTGATATTTATTTGGGTATTTTGGTACCTTTATTGCCCACTGTTTAGTTACCTACTGTATATATGATGGTTACCAAATCTAGTAACTTTAAATATATATGATGTTATGCCATTTAAACAGTCCTGAGGAAAGGCTTTTTTCTAATCCCGTTTTCACTTTCTCTTCGTTTTTAGAGCATGCCAAGATGAAAGGAAGCCCCATACCGTAAGATTAACACTCCGTCGGTATTCATCTGAGAAGCATTATAGCCGTGAGAGTCGTCAGTGCCCTATTCCATCTCATGTAATTCAGAAGTTAGGGACAGGTATGGACTAGTTTTCTAAGAGTTAGCAGGTTTCTAAGTCATAAGCAGGATGAACACTTAAAGAAGCAAACTGAGTTGGAAATACACTCCAAAAATGGAGGTAGTTAGTGAGCAATTAAATACTTTGATTCTGTCAGGAATTTTTCACTTGAAAGATTTTTGGTTTTGAATAGGTAATAAAAGTAAAGACTCATTTAAGAAGGCTTCTCAGGTTCAAAGAGAAAAAAAAAACTATGATAATTATGTCACGTGAAATGAATTCTTTATGAGCATTTAGATTGGTTTTATTTTAGGGCTATTATGAAAGGTAGTGCTGTGAGCATTTATATATAAGTCATTGATTGAATGGATATATACTTTCATCTGTCTTGGTTAGATTGCAAGGAGTAGAATTGCTGGATTATATGATCAGATGAACAATATAAGAAACTGCCAAAAGTTTTTTTAAAGTTGGTGAAACAATTTACATTCTCACCAGCAGTGTATGAAGTTTCCAGTTCTTCATATCCTTACCAATCTATGATATTATCAGTCTTCTTTATTATACTTTTTCTGGTGCTGTGTGGTAGTACTGTGATTTTTCTTTTATGGATAGTGATTTTGGGGTCATATCTAAAAACTCTGCCTGACACAGAGGTCACAGATATATTCTCCTGTGTATTTTAGAATTTTATTATTTTAAGCTTTATGTTTAGTTCCATTTTGAGTTAATTTTTTGTGTATACTGTAAGATTGGGTATTGTTCTTCCTTTTGCATGTGGGTGTCCAATAGTTCCAGCAACATTTGTTGAAGACTGCTCTTTACCCATTAAATTGCCATGGCATCTTTGTCAAAAATTAATTGACCATAAATGTTAAGAGTTTATTTCTTGATTTTCTTGTTCCATTGATACATATGTTTATCCTTGTACCAGTTTCACCTGGTTTGATTATTATAAGTTTTGAAATTAGATAGTGTAAGTTCTCCAGCTTTGTTCTTTTTTAGCATTGTTTTGGCTGTTTGTACTCTTAGATTTTTGTTTATGGAAAAATTTTAAAATAGTAATTTGGCTTCTTTTATTTATTAGAGGTCTGTTCAGGTTTTTTGTTTATTTTGAATCAGTTTTGGTAATTTGTGTTTTCTATGAATTTGTGCATTTCATCCAAGCTGCCTAATTTGTTGGCATGAAATTGTTATTATTCCCTTTAATCCTTTTAATTTATCTAGAGTCTGTAGTGATGCCCGGCCTTTTATTTGTGATGTGGGTAGCTTGTGTATTCTTTTTTCTTTGTCATTCTAGCAAAGATCCATCGGTTTTGTCGATTTCTTCCAAGATCTTTCAGTGTCATTGATTTCGCTGTCGTTTTTCCACTTTCTATTTTATTGCTGCTCTGATTTTTATTTTTTTCTTATTTCTGATTAGTTTAAGTTTAATTTACCTTTTCCCTTAGTAACTTAAGAATACTTAGAGTATGTATTTTATATCTGTTTTCTAATAATTGGATTTTAAAGTTACATATCTCTTTTTAATCAGTGCTTTAGCTGCATTCCATACATTTTCTTGTGTTATTTTTCATTAAGGTCAAAGTAGTTTCTAATATCCCTAGTGACATCTTTTTTGACCCATAAACATAGAAATTTGTTATTTAATTTCAAAAAATCGGATGGTTCCCTAAGCTTTTTTGTTGTTAATTTCATGTTGCTCCGAGACCCTACGACGAGTAATTTCAGTCCTTTTAAGTTCATTGAAACTGGTTTTATTGCCTAGCATGTCATCGACACTGGAGAGTGTTCCATTTGCGCTTGGAAAGAAGCATTGAGCAATGGTATCAAACAACTAACTTAACAAAAATGTGTGGGGCACGCCACCCAAACAGCACTTACGGACGGCAGGTTGGCTGGATGTACACTTCTCGACGTGTTTTCCTTTCCATACCTGGAATGTATCATCCTGCTGTCGTTTGGCGTCCGTTATTTCCGATGAGGAGTTAGCTGCCGATGGTTTTATCAGTCTCCTTCCGATTAAGAGAGATGACCTCTCTACAACAGATCGAAAAACCAGCCGGGCGTGGTGGCGCGCGCCTGTAGTTCCGGCGACTCGGGAGGCGGAGGCGGAGGCGGAGGGATCGCCGGGGCCCGCAGGTCGGGGCGGCGGGGCCGGGGGCGGCCGCCGCGCTCCGGTCTGGGCGACGGAGTGAGACTCCGACGCAGAAGAAAAGGAAGAGAGAACCGCACAGAGATTTGAACAGAGGAAGTTTCAAGTAAAGAAGTACCAAACTGGCAGGGCCGTGACTGGAGGGCACGACGAGCTCTGGAAAGGGACCCTCGGACGAGGGCGCAGCCCAGAAGGGCACGTGCGGGAGGGCGAGGGAGAAGGAGTGGCTGCGGAAC